GGGGGGGGGGGGTTGGCATAGGGGAACAATTTGGGTAGGGCGAACCCAGAGACTGGTGGGGGAGAACAAAAAAAAAAGTGGCGGTCCGAAAAAGCAGTGAACATGTATGTTTTGGGGTGTTGTGATACAAATGATATAATCGACGCCGAAGAGTGCATCATTAGCATCATGAGGGGCTCAGGAGGCCATTTAAACCGTCTTCGACGAGGGGTGGGAGGACAGGAAAGGGGGGACAACAGGACGTGAAAAGTGATTGAGATGGGCGTCTCGCAACACTCTGATTTCTTGTGGCTAATACAAGTGGAAGGGACGGGACTGCAAGAAACGATGTGACCCGCTGAGGACGGGAGAGGGAACAGAATGCAGTGGGCAAGCATTGCTGCTTAAAGGTGCCCTTTTGCGTCTGGTTAACAGGCCTCTTCACCTTTAAAAGTGAAGAGGCCTGTTAACGAGACGCAAAAGGGCACCCCATATGGGGTGGGAGTTCATGTTCTGCTTTCTATTTCTACCACCGGTCGGCGTGGCTGCAATGTCAACTTCACCCCATAACAAAGGCACTCTTTGTCCGATGTTAGACAATCACTTGACCTTTAGCTGTAACATCGGTCCACTCTTGGCAGCGCGCCGAGCTTATGAGTCCATCTACAGGACAAGAATAACAAACAGCAGGCAAGCGCCCCTCAGTTCCTTAGGGGTGCCCTGTTTCAGCTTGAAAACGCCCTTGAGCCAAGGCCCCCCCCAACCTATGTATTCTGCTGTCTATTTCCAACAGCAGTAGACGTCACTGCAATGTCGACTTCCCCCCATAACAACTGCAGTTTTTCCCCGAAGCTATAAAAGCAATCACATTGCGTGATCTTGGCAGTAAACTTTCCTCGGTCTACTCTTAGCAGCACGCCGACTTTATGAGTCCATCTACAAGACAAGACAAACAACAGGCAAGCGCCCCTCAGTTAGCTGTATACCTGAGGAGGGAGGGGGCGAAAGCCAGCCTCTGTAAGAAGACATCAATATTGTTAGGGGGGAAAATATAGAGCGCACTGGTACCGCTGTCAGGCGTGGGGCAATAGAAGGCAGAGGTGGGAAGTCGCAGTAAGGGCCGATATGACAGGCTCTCATTCACAGGTGGGGGGGTGGGGTGCCCTTTTTCCTTTTGTTGAAGGGTATAGCTAGTAGCTAAGATAAGTACAACTAGTTACTAACCAACTAGTAGGTATCAAACATGTTTGTAGCAAGGACGCAAACACCCTTCACATAGTCGAAAGGGTTCCTAGATGTTGACATATAGAAACAGCACTTGAAAAAACAACAGCAGAGATTTTGCAACTCTTTCCCGCCGAATTTTCGGTAACCTCCGAGTAGTGAGAAACCTCATAGATGTTTTTTGATTGACCTTGATTCTTACACGGATCCAAGAGCAAAATCAGAAGAATACTCAGAAATGAGGCTCCACATCAGGGCGGGGTTAACTGAGCTGAAGAAAGACGTTGCAAATATCAATTCAAAGGCAAACATCCCAATTCCCTGGTGCTCTCAAAAAACAACGACAAAAAACTGGAGGATGCAGGACAGAAACGACAGACAGACTAGCCGTCTCCAAAACGGCACCGAACAAGTGTCAACACCTGATAAATCACATCTAGCTAGGGTTTGGAACATTTGTTCTTGTACCCTCTACATGTACATACAGGTCCCATACACATGCCCAGCACTGTGTTTGTCGTGGGGCAATTCGGTGCAAGAAGACTAGGCATTTCTTTCAGCTGCTTTTAACATCTTTTAACTTATTGACTATTGTGAAACTTTTGTTGCAGGCCCCGCGAGCTCACTTGTCTTGTTTTGCTGGCATTTGTTGACAAACCCGGCCTTGATTGGCCTGCCCTGGTTGGGAATTTCGTTGGGCCCCCCCAGGTTTCGCATTCCTGTGGCATTTGGCCGTTTTCAGTGAGCACGAGATGTTAGCAACTTAGTTGGCAGGGTAAGACGGTTTGACAATGGTGTTGTGTCAGCCTCAGGACTTTACGGAAAGGTCACCAGCATCCAGTTTGTAGTGCTCTCAGCTTATCAATATGTGAACACATGACACTGTTGAGAGTCGTATGTTGGGCCGCTGGTTAACATACAATGTGGTTACTACAGTTACTACGCCGTACGAGACTTTAGACTCTTTAGACGCCTGGGATAAGGACTCTGATGGCCTTGCATAGCTTTGCTGAATGATGCTCAACAAGATGCGCAGGTGAGAGCCAGCTTCTAGTGGGAAATACCGTTCGGGAATGAAGTGAGTGCATGTGATGCTGCCTGAGGCATAATTCTTGGACAGAGCTTCCAACCTGCCTGCTGGAGCAACGTCAACCGTCGTGAAACTAAACTGACAAAATACTGCTACAAGCGCAGTATTGTGGGGCTCTATAAGACTATGCTAAATGCTAAAGCATTCCTTGTCCTTGGAGTATTGCAGGATGAACGCCTTTGCAAGGCTCAAGCATAAATTGAACACTGACGCTGCTGTTCACACTGTTGCAGTGCTCCAGTGCTCCATGACACGGCTTTTCCTGCTTGCCTTTAGTTGCACGTACAGCGCAGTGACGCAGTACTCCACTTTCAAAAGTATATGGGTGCCAACTCACACGCATATTACTGTAAAATAATATGCCCGTATTGGCATGAGCTGGAATGGGCGATGGCAACCTCCCTTTGCATTCTTGGAGCTGACCTCAATGGCCAATGCTTTGCTTTCAATCATCGTGTCAACGCGTCAGAAAAGGTCTTTGGACAAATTAGGGAAGTGCTTATTCTATTTGGGACGTCAGACTTGCAAAAACTGAGAACGAAGGCTGCTCTTGCGCTGTACTTGCAGGCCAGTGCTAACCTCTTAAGTGTTGATTGATCATTTTACCAATCAGGATGTGTAGCTGCACATGCACTGTGTTGTGTCCTTTAGCAAAGCTTCCGCTAGACTGCATATGGGCAATCTGAAGCTGATTGCAGTGGCCCTGGACCAAGGGTACTGGCCTCAGCACATCAAATCTAGGAACCAAATCATTAGTGCGAGTGCGAGCTATCCTGCGTCCATGTCTAGTAGCTTGAGTAGCTACTAACTTCTCCCTTACTTAATTAAGTAGGCGCCTACTTAATTAAGTGGGGGGAGCGGGCTAAAGAAAGAACGTTTTTGTGTGTTTTCATGTCCAGAACCGAACCTGCACATGACCTGTCGAGGCTGATGGATGCGCACCGGAAGAGGAGGCCATCGAAACCTGGTGTTTTTTCCTATTTGGATCACCTGGCCACTGTGCAAAATGGAGGTGATCCAGTGTAGCAGAAACGGCGAGCACTGCTATATCTATGATGCGTGGTGCTTCAGAAAGTGAGAGAAGTTTGCATGTTAAACATGGGCATGGCAAAATGGTGAGGCCTTGTATGCCTTTTGTGAGCCCCATGCAAACTTCTTCGAAAGCCCATTTGGGGTGCAAGGTGCCCAAGGTGGGGGGCAAGCTATTCAAGCTATTCAAGCAACACAAAAAGCTGAAGCTACCAATGACAAACATGTGCATAGAATAGTTGCATTTGTGAATGACGGTCTCCGCAAATCGTTTTAGCACAATGGAATCAAGAATTCTCCACAGTCTGGTTGCAAGGCCCTATGGAATGCACCACAACTACAACTGGAACTCACACAGCACCATGGACGCACGTTGTTTCAGGCTTCGATGTGTGTCGTGGCTAGTCGCTTCTCCAACTTCCTAAGACTACAAGCATCAAGACGAGAACTGCTGTGGCCCTAGAGAGTTCTTCACGACATGAACATCAAACCAGTGTGCTCAGCGGCGAAGTGAAACCAGGTGACTTTTTACACAACGACCCGTGGGCTGGCAATTGAGTGTAGTTGGGTCCTCAATCGGAATGAAATCAAACGAGCTTGAGAAGGAAGACGGGTCTAAAAAGGAAAAGAGAAAGATGCTTCTTGTTTCTAATAGCTTCTTGCTACTACTAGTAAGGCATTTGTTACTAGTAGCGATGCACTTGTTCCTAATAGGGTCCACAAAGTGCATTAATTTCAGACTTCATCATTAGTAGAGCCCCTTGAGGAGATCTTTGCTACGAGAACACACATCTTTGGATTGAAAAGTGCGGATGGCCTGGCTGCGCTTCGTGTCAAGCCCTCAAACAGTTACAACCATACAACAAGTATTGAAATGCAAGGCATGCAGGCAGCTAATGTCTGCAATAGCTCACGTTCCTGACTTCACTTCCCAGGTGGAGAATGTGCCTCCATTCTGCTTCCAAGCACAGAGCCAGAAACCACGCTGCATGCCTCAGAGGTTGAGACACTGAACCACAGTGAACCACCTCACATGCAAATAGATTGAGTCAAAAGAAACCGACATCAATCGACTGGCTTCATTTCAGGTCTGCTGCAGATGGAATGTTTACGTTTAGGCTAGGACCGCTAGGGCTTCATGCTGCAAGAAGCGACGTTGGAAGAAATGATACGAACAGTCTTTGGCAGAATATTAAGCAAAGTTTCGACCAGTGTTGTGCGATGGGGTATGTGTGTGTGTGCCATGGTATTACGGTGGAACGTGGCAACCTCCGGTGTGGTGATATGTCATCATGCTATCTAATTTTACGTAACTATTGTTGCGATGCGTGGATCCTTAATAAGCTGAGTGTATCTTGCAATCTGACTGTGGGTCCCTTGACGCTCTTCGGCCACTTGTGATTTTCAGGGGTCTGGGGTCTGGGGTGTATTTGAAGTTTGTCCTCCGAACTGCGCCAACGTTGATAAGATAGCTCTGGATTTTGTATTTTCACTCCATGTAATATGTACACTTTTACCTTGCACATATGTAGGATGTCATGTTGGACAACTATCGTAGCTCGCGGCCCAGAACAGAAGTTGCAGCTTAGCGGCTGTTTCTATAGGTTATCAGCCGTAGTGCTCTAACCACACAGCCATGGACGCTCTCGCTCTCCCTGGTAATGCCACATCGTCAGTCGCTGTGCCAGCCAGTGTCGCGACTGAGCCCAATGTAGATCTAGATGATCCCATGGGTTCAGCTCCGGTAACGGCATACTTCCAATTCGTGCAGCAAAACATTCAGCAGGTGTACAACGGTAACGAGGACGCCGTCATTGCTGAGGCAGAACGAAGGCACAAGGAGGTATTAGCGCAATGGATGGATACGGTAAAAGCCAAGTTTCATCAGGCGATTATTGAGGTAGAAGGCAGACACCATGAGGAGGTTAGATCAGTGAAACAACAAGTCCAGTCTAGCTATGACAAGTTGCAAGCAGAGCTTAGCGCTGCCATAGCACGCATCTTCAATCTAGAAAACGACAGAGCATTGGAAGCTGAAGCAAAGAAAGCAGAGATGGATTCTTTGCGTACGCAAATCACGCACGAGTGTCAGCAAACAGTGAATGCAATCACAGAGAGTGCTGAACAAGGTGTAGTGAAACTCCGTGCAGAGTTTGATGAGCCTGAGCTCAAACTTCAGCGTGATTTGAGAGAGGCAGAAAATGAGAACTATAGCCTACAACAAATCACGACAACAAAGTCACTGACGAGCCAGAGTATGTCCCAACTAGCGTAGTTGCTTCACCAGTAGCGACGCCTAGGCAAGGCGAGCATGAAAAGAAAGGTACCTTAGAGACCATTGCAGCAGAGGCTAGTGCACGTCTGAGTGGGTTGTTTGGACCCAAAGTGCCTGCAGCCACCGTCACCGGTGATGCCCCGCCCGGGGCCGCCGCTCCAATCAAGCCGGTGCTTCCTGTTTATGGAGGTACTGCAGCAGACGGTGGCAAGACACCAACTCACATGTTTCATAGCCCTGCACCTTCAATTCGTGAGCCCCACAAGCCAGCTTCGTCAGGCGCTATCACCTCTGAGCAGGTGATTGAACTGGTCAAGTCACTCACTCAAAGGGAATCGGATGAGAAGCCAAAGGTTAAGGAAGCAGATCACATCAAGCTGAATGATATGCCAACCCCTGAAACCTATCGGCAGTGGAAACATCATGTGAGGGACGAAATCAAGTCATGTTCTGATAAGCCAGACGCAGCCTGGGACTGGTTGATGGAGGTTTACAACACTGTTGATGAGAGAAAGGTTCTGGAAGAGCGGTTGTCAAACCCTGGTAAGTTCACAACGTTGGATACCAAGTTGGCGGCTGCGTTAACCAGAAGTGCAAAGGGTGACCTAGCTAACCGAATCATCAACTACAAAGAAGAGAAGGCAAAGCTAGGCATCCAGGTTCGTGGAAGGATGATTCTTCTCATGTTTGATGATTATTTCAAGACCTCAGAAGAAGCAGAGCCTTTACAGGGTTGAAGATCTCCTCAATGTGGTGAAGGTAGGCGACACCGTGGCAGATTTGAAGCGCTTCATCAATCGCTGGGACGCTACCATCGCCGGTATGCCCGAACCACCGCACGAAAACGTGCTTCGGGACATCCTTTTGAGGCAGATCCGAACTAGCGCAATCTTGAGGTATGATATAGGTCTGTTTGATCGTGCAAAGGAAGGTGATCATCATCGGTCTTACAAGTTCCTACTGCAAAGCGTCAAGGATTTGATAGATCGGGAACGCCTTCGAGAGAACCGGTCGCGCATCGCTGAGCGAAATCGGCTCAAGCCAGGTGACCGAAGTGAGAAGAATGCAGCTCCAACAGTCGATCCTCGGCGGAAGCGTTCTCCATCGCGTGGGCGGCCAACGTCCCGTGAGAAAGGGAATTGTTGGGCCTTTTTGGAGGGTAAGTGTGCAAAAGGGAAGGATTGCAAGTTCAAGCATGAAAAGCCCAAACGCGACCCTTCCAAGAAGCGTCAACCGTCACGAGAGTGGAATGAGTCGAGGGACAAGAGCACAGACAAAGAGAAGAAGCGTATGACTAAGGAAGAGATGGCAAGGACCCCGTGCAGGTACGATCAACAAGGTACTTGTAGGAGGGGAGACAAGTGCTTTTTCAAACATGGAGAAAAGGCAGCACCGACTCCAAAGACGAAGCCACGGAAGGAATCCCCAAAGCCAGGAAAAGCCAAAGGGGGCCCAAAGAATGCTGCCATTTGCCTGAGCAATCGGTTTGCATGTTTAGCAACTGGTGTGCCTGGTCAGTCTTGTCTCAAGAAGCCCTGTCTTCCCCCGGCACGGAGAAAGTCCAAGCCATCCGCCCGAAGGATTACGTTCGTCATGAAGCCTGAGATTCGTACAACCCCCGCTCGCGGGGAACACTGCAAGATGGTCAAGCGCCCGCGCAAGTACAGCGTACATTACGCCGCGAGCGATCGTGTGCCCAAGAGCGACCCGAAGGCAACCAACATGGCCAAAGTAAAAGCTAGGCAGTTGGCTGAAGTCGTTCGGAACTTCGATTGTTCAGACGCACCGTCATGTCGCTTTCTGTGCGCCGAGTCATCGCTCTCGTGCCGTGCTCGCCGAAGCTTGATCAAACTGAAGACGTGTCCTACCACTATCCCAACTATTGTTGCAAGTCCGGCACCGAGGGAAGGCAGGTTCTCCTGGCTAGTCGATTCAGGTAGTGAGCAAGACCTCCTCAGTAGGAAAGTCATGGATGCTGCTGGTGCAGAGCGTATTCGCAGGCACTGGGATGGATCCCGATCCGAAGGTAAGGAAGAGGATTGCCGCCAAGGCTGCGAAGAAGTTGAAGAAGAAGAAAAGTTCGTCGGAGAGTTCATCGACGGGAAGCAGCAGCGACTCGTACGATGAGGAGAGTGGCGAGCTGTTCGAAGAGACGCAGAAAGTGAGGAGGATAGGGCGCCTAGCCCTGGGCGCCTTGACCACTGGCCATGTCGCGACAGCCTCCTCAATGCAGCCGGAGGGATCTGGGATCAATCAGAAGGACATGCCAGGTCATGAGCGCACGGGCGACAGGGGGGCAATCCCGCGGGGCACTGACTTTGAGCTGGTGCCTGGCCTGTTGATGCAGGCCGCGTGGCCGAGGCGGCAGATGCGCCAGTTGGTCAATCTCGCAGAGGATCGAGCTGGTGCCCTTGGAAAAGCCAATCATTTCAAGCAGAGCCGAAGCCAGAGAGGCCATCAGAGAATCAAAAGAAGAGAACCGCGCCAGGGCCGAAGCAAGCAAGGGGAAAGGCAAGAGCGACTGGTCAGGAAGCTGGCGAGAAACGCCATGGCATCAGGAAAAAGGGAAGCGCAAGGATGGCAAAGGAAAGCGCAAAAAAGGAAAGGAAAAGGACCAGAGCAAGAAGCAAGACTCCTAAAGCAGGGAGCCGATCGCATGGGAGAGAAGGGTTCCGACCCGGAGGAGGGAACCAGCCGGTTCCGGTGCATGGCAGCGTGGTCAGGCCAGTAACCGAGTCGACCATGCTGGGAGCAGAGGCCAAGAGGCGCCATTTAAAGGAGGCTGCCCTGGTCAGTGAAGTGAGTGCGAATGGACCTAAGGATGAAGGCCCAGCAGATCTTTTCCATGACAAAGTGGCGAACCCATTGTTGGATGAGGCCACCGTCGGTACAGCAGCCAAGAGGCGCCATTTCAACGAGGTTGCCCTGGTTGAGACAGCGGGCGACGACGACTTTGTGCCCTCGTTCACCTTGCGAAAAAGTTGCATGAAGCCGCCGTTTGTGGGAGAGAGATTGATGTCTGTGTTTTCCTGGGTTTCCTCCATCTTGGTTGAGTCAAGCATCCAGATCGACCTACCTATGCGAGGGTGACGTCTTCCCGTTGCCCACTGAGATGGGGGTGCTCAGGGAGATGTTGCGGGCGCCAGAGAGTGTGGTTTTGATCATCCAGAGCATGTGCATGGCGTTGAACAGTTTGTACGGCGTTGAGGTGAAGAGTGAATTCTCCCCCATTCCCCTCCAACAAAAAGTGTCGCGATTTCTCCGGAGTCGGGCGGATGAGGTTGTAGAGTGGTCGGAGGTATTTGAGGACACATCCTGGCATGACTTCTTTCAGGTGAAAACCATCGATTATTGCGGAGAGGAAGTTCTCTGCGCCCAGTACACCGCCTGGGACAACTTGTCCCCCGCCATGCCTACAGAGGTAGGCTTGGTCCCCCTGCAGGAGGTGTGAGTTGGGGTGTCGTCGTTACGTGATCGTACATCCTGCCTGAGGAGATGCAAAAGTCGATGAAGCCGCCAAGAGTGCTGGTGGGAGACGAGGCCTGGCCGGGGGTATGCGAGGGATTGCTGCGAAAGGGCGTGTGCATCGCGTTAAAGGAGAAAGACGAGCTGTTCCAGGTAAATGGCAGCCCCCTCCTAAACGGACTCTTCGGGGTCCCTAAAGGGGAGGAGAAAGACGGATGCCCTATTCATAGATTAATCGTGGATCTTCGTCCAGCCAATCTCATCTGTCGAGCGATCGACGGAGACGTTGCGACGCTGCCCACTTGGGCCACGATGAGCCCACTGCACCTGATGAGCCTGGTGATATCGTCAGAGGATGTGAAGTGTTTCTTTTATATTTTCCAGGTTCCACGGGAATGGTCATCATGTTTGGGGTTCAACAGACCTATCCCTCGAGGGATGCGGCCAGATGAGGATGGCCCATACTATCTAGCGTCACAGGTGTTGCCCATGGGCTTCAAGAACAGTGTAAGCCTGGCTCAACATGTACACCGGGTTATGGTGAGACGTGCTGGGGACACTATAGGTGAGGCCCTCAGACCGGAACAGGAAATCCGTAAAGATAGACCTTTCTCATCTTCGAAGTCCCTACATCGCATCTACCTGGACAATTTCGACGCCCTGGAGAAGGGGCCAGCGTCCTGGCCTTGCGGGCAGAATATGAGAGGTGGGGAGTCCCACGTCGCCCTAAGAAGGGAGTTGCTCGGGAGTTGAAGGCGGAGGTACAGGGAGCAATCATCGACGGGGTCAAAGGGATCGCCTACCCCAAGCCAGTTAAGGTGCTCAAATACGCGCAGCTGGGTAGTCTCCGATTAGGGGAGAAGAGGTGCTCTCAGAAGCAAATGCAGGTGGTTGCAGGGGGCCTCGTCTACATGAGCATGTTCAGGAGACCGCTTCTGGCTCACTGAATGCCGTTTGGCGCTTTGTTGAAGAGTTCAAGAACTATCCACCGGTTGTCAAACTGGAGATCCCTTATGAGGTCAAGCTTGAGGTGTCGAGGTTCATTTCATTGGTGCCGCTTGCGCAAATGGACTTTCGCTTGGAGGTGAGCCCAGAGGTGACTGCAAGTGATGCCTCCACCACTGGAGGAGGTCTCACTAGGAGCACTGTCAGGTTTTGGGGAAGCCCAGCCCGAGCCAGCATTAGAGGCGACATCCCGGAACCTGCGGACATCTGCACGGTCCTCACAGTCGGGCTGTTCGACGGAATCGGAGCACTACGGGTAGCGGCAGACGCTTGTGGCCTGCCGGTGATAGGCCACATCAGTGTGGAGGTGAAGAAGGAGGCGAGTAGGGTCCTTGAAAGTAAGTTCCCATCGACCGTGTTCATTGAGAAAGGAGTGGAGGCTGTGGATGAGGAGATGGTGAGAAGTTGGGCAGGCAGGTTCTCACAGGCCTCATTGATCCTATTAGGTGCTGGTCCTCCACGCCAGGGGGTGAGTGGACTGAATAGTGAGGAGCGTTGAGAGATCAGCGAAGTTGTTTGTTTACACACGTCCGACGCATCAAAGACCTCCTCAAACTCCATTCCCCCTGGGCGCAAGTCCGATACCTTGCGGAAAGTATGGCTTCAATGGACCGCAAAGACCTGCAGATCATGTCCAAGGACTTTGGAAACACCCCAGTGAAGATCGAAGCGAGTGGCGTGTCATTAGCTCGTCGGCCCAGGTTGTACTGGATGGACTGGGAGGTTTCGCCGGGCCCAGGGGTCCGCGTCCACCCTCAGCAGGATATCGGCGACGCTGCTTTCAACGAGGTCGAATTGAGCGCCCAGGTGGAGCCTAAAGACTTTTTGACGCCGGGATGCAGCAAAGTTTCAGAAGAGCCTTTCCCTACTTTCACTACATCGAGGCCCAGGACCCATCCAGGTAGACGACCAGCAGGACTGGACAAGTTGACGGAGCAGGAGAGAGAAGCGTGGGAGAAAGACAAATTCAGGTTTCCGCCCTACCAATTCTCACCGTCTCCTAGTTCAAGAAAGCAATGGGCCCTGCCGGATCCCAAACATCCAGGAAAGAGAAACCATCATGGGATTCCCAAAAGACTACACCATTCAATGCATGGCCAAGCAACACCAAGGAAGTGAAGCTCATGATGGGGGTGAAGGGGAGTATGAGCTAGTCTCCAAACTCCTAAACCTCGTCAGCCTGAAAGGAGAGGACATCATGGTGCAGGCACCCAGTGAAGAAAACACTCCGCTACCCTCGTCTACGAGCTAGTCTACCAGCGGGATTGTGGACCTGGAAGACAGTCATGGGATGGAGATGGCAAGGCTCACCAGAGCACATCAATGTGCTGGAGTTGCGGGCCGCTCTTACCTCCCTACAATGGCGCTTTGTGAAAAAAGCAGGCGCTCCGAAGCAAATTTGTGCATCTTGTGGACAGCTTGGTGTGCCTCCACGCTCTCTCAAGGGGGGAGAAGCAGCAGCCGCAAACTTCGTCGAACTATGAGTCGTGTGAACGCCTTGCTCCTCGCCACAGGTTCTCATGCCGTATGGGCGTATGTCCATACGAAGGACAACCCGGCCGATCGGCCGTCGCGCCTACCTGTGAAGAAGAAATGGTGAGCCACCGGAAAGTACATGTTGAAGGCAAGGACAAGGCAACGCGACAACAGCAGAGACGAGCATTGAGGCCGCTGCGCAACCTGGCGGTACAACCAGCCACCAGGGCACGCTATGACAAAGCGCTAGAAAGGTTCAGGACCTATCTCCGAGAGGAGAGCCGTAGATTCCCGGATGATCCTTCCATCCTTGATTTCTGTCTTAGCCACTATATCGAAATCCTATGGGAAGCGGGGGAAGGGCGTGCCCTTGCCTGTGACACTATAGCATCCATTCAAGACTACAAACCAGCAGTTAAGGGGAGGCTATCATCCTCCTGGAGACTTATGGAAACATAGTCGTCGACAGAGATTCCAAGCCAAGCACCGCCACTTCCTACGGAAGCTTTGGACATTCTTGTGGGGTATAGTCTCTTTAGGCGCGATGACTTGTTCGCCTTGTCGCTCCTGCTTGGGTTTCATGGTTTACTTCGCACTGGAGAACTGCTGGGAGTGAAGAAGTCGCATGTGGAACAGCAAGGCCCGCGAAGCGTTGCAGTCATCTCGTTGGGCATGACCAAAGGCGGCCGCAGGCAAGGAGCGGCTGAAAGTGTCGCAATTAGGGAAGAAGACACCCAGCGCCGACTGTGGCAGTGGAAGGCCACCTCCTCTACAAGGACCTCACTCTGTGAAGCGGCTCACATTTGGAGAAGGAAGTTTGCCAAATACCTCGAAGCCACGGGGCTGAGTGAGCATTCTTTTTTAGACCCTACAGTCTGCGAAGGGGAGGCGCAACCTCCTATTTTGCAAAACATGGGTCGCTAGATAAGCTCCTCACAGCTGGTAGATGGCAGGCGGCAAAGACCGCAAGGATATACATTAACGAAGGACTTGCTGTCCTAGCCGAATTTCAGCTAGCCTCCAACACAGGCACGTGGTTTTAAGCGACAGTATGAGAGGTCTAAGTCTCTTGAGCTCCAACCCCTTGAGCATGCCGGAATGGGCAGGACTGGGGGACCTGGAAGGAAGAGCAATTGACACCGCCGGCGGTATAAAAATGCTAAAGGAAGAACGCAACAGGGGGCGGGGGCCTGGAGGTACCCCAGTGTGGCGGGGCCCAGGACACCCCAGAGTACCTGGCTCACTGTAACCTCGGTGTGGCGAGGTACAGTGGGGGGACTCGGGCCATGGAGGCCCTAAATAAGTGTTTGAGATTGCATGAACGCTTGCTTTACTTGACCAACTAGGTCTGCACTGCATGATGAAAATGGGAAACCGGCGTGAGTCTTTGGGCTTACGTCCCCGTTAGTTAAGACGAACTAGGTAGACTCAGTTTCTTTTGAAGGGTTTGGGCTCACAGCCCCTCCGCGGCCCGCCCGCTGTGTGCCCAGGAGAAGGAAGAGCAAGAAATCCAGGAAATGACCTTTTTTTCTCGAATTCGAACACTGCCGGCGGTATAAAAATGCTAAAGGAAGAACGCAACAGGGGGTGGGGGCCTGGAGGTACCCGGTGTGGCGGGGCCCAGGACACCCCAGAGTACCTGGCTCACTGTAACCTCGGTGTGGCGAGGTACAGTGGGGGGACTCGGGCCATGGAGGCCCTATTTTAAATAAGTGTTTGAGATTGCATGAATGCTAGTTTTACTTGACCAACTAGGTCTGGACTGCATGATGAAAATGGGAAACCGGCGTGAGTCTTTACATATATATATATATATATATACGTGCCTTTTCGTTTCTCACCCGCTTCGGAGTCCGGAGTCCCCTGTGATACGACACGTATATCTCTATATCTATTTTAAGCCTGTGTCGTGTGACAGCTAAAGCCGTGGCTCTCTAGCACTTTGGCTCCTTGCTGCTTCCTGACAGAGGCCAATTCAAAGGAATACTACATTACCACCTACGACTTCTGCAGCATCTGGTGGCCAATCAGGCACACAGTAGAGGTGTTATGCTAAATCAATATTCACAATAGAGGTGCCACGAGAACGAAGAAACTTAGCATGTGCACTCTCCCCTTGACACCATCTCACATGCCTCCATGAAGCAGGTGGATCAGGATCTGGTGGGGGCAGCGCACCAGCGCAGCCCTGAGTTGCTGAAGTTATGTAAAAAATATATATATATATAGATTATATAGGGTTTTCGAAACATCGTGTAAACATGAATGCGCTTGGAACGTGTGTAGGAAGAACAACTCACTCGAAAACTGCAAACATGACAATGACAGTATGGGTGCAAGTCTCGGTGGCAGTCTAGAAAGGCTGCTATCAGGCATTCCAAAAATCCCAACCAAACATGAAACATCCGGGAAGAGCGCTCTGGCATCAATTGAGTGAAAGAAAGACTGAATGTGAGGTTTTGACAACAATACACACGCAGATGGGCAGACACACAGTCCAGAGCCAAGGTCTTTGATGGATCGGACGGATCTTTGGAAGAAGCTGCACAGAGCGACCAGACGACAGTTCAGATAGCGCGATGTGCCAAGAGATGAAGTGCAGTTGCAATGGTAGGTACTGTAAGTAGAATATCGATGAAACAACGGAATTCTTGCTCCGCCTTGCTCTTAGAACCTAGAGGACCTAGAGCCAGCCATGATTTAGGTCAACAACTTCGGCTCAGCTTCAGTCCAAGGCTTGTTTACAACTGCTTCAAGCCCAGGGCCACGTCAGCGCCGATAGCACACTCTCAATTGGAGTAAAGATGCGTCATATAAGGTGTTACGACGCGATCAATTACATACCTTGGAGCCAGCTGTGTATTGCTCTCAGTCCACTTTGTACTCTTGGCAAGCAGGGCAATTGCTTGCAAAAAACCGAGGCAATTGGGCAACGTGTGTGCTATGTCCAGAATGTTCTGGTGCTCGACCCTATTGGCCAACATATGTTTCAGTTGTTTCATCTTGTGCAAGTGAATGAAGGATGTAGGACTTCGGTAAGTTGCAACTCAGTCCTTGAACCAAAGATACGAGTAAGGCACAAGTGTGACTGCAACATCCACTACGGTTCCTCTTGCAGTCACTGCCACAGTCTCCACAACACTAGTTTCAGTCCAAAGCTCAGAGAACAGCCATGTTTCATCTTCGACCAGAGACCATTCAAACTAGAAAGTCTGAAAGCTTCAAGGTGACAAGTGCTATGACCACAAGCAGTACAGTTTGAAACTTACGAGAATTATGTTGGTGCAGAGTGCAGAAACATTTTTTGAGTGTGCAATGTTGTGTTGCAACACGGTGGAGCTTTGAACCAAGACTGCAACACGATCTATCACGACCTCCACCACATTTACTGCAGCTTGGACTGCTTCCAGATTGACAGCCGCTAAGTGTCCTTGGTTTTCGGTGTCTTTTGTTGGGGGCTGGATCAGGCTGGGTAGAACACTATGACTATGACTATGACACTCATATTGTGATTATATACTTTGCTTTGATCTGAGATCACTTCAACCGACACCATCACGACGACAATACCCCTGAGGCACAGACGGCTTGTAGGGGTGATGCATTCAATGTGACACTAAACTTGGGCACGCCCCACAATCCCGTGATTGAAAGCACCCGCACAACAGATGCTGTGCAAAATGGAGCCCACACTTGATACATTTGCAAAAGTCCATTAAGTGTGGCCATGATCTGTTGGATGTGACTTCCGGGCAGGGCTTGCGAACCTCCGAACCCACTGCTTGCTGGCATCATGGCCAATGAGGAGTCGTTGGAGGTTGAATTGGGTTATTGGAACTTTCAAGTTTGCTTATGCTGTCACAGGAGTGCAAGGGAAACCTAAGTTGCATCCTCAGGGCAAGGCAGTTTTTGTTTCATCAGGTAGATTTCGCTGTTGTCCCTTGTTGTCCTGGAAACATGCCCACGTAACAAGACACAAGATAAAACTGCCGCCTCCCAACATTTGGCAAGTTTCTGGCTTATTGTCAAGAAGGGCAAGGCGAAATTGTGCTATGCAAACGAAGTGAGATTGGGGGTCCTGGGGCAGAGCCCACAACATGTTTGCAGAGAAAAGAATTTCTCAAGCTCCTCAGAATACACATGAGACATCCAGTTGCCACGATGGTGGATGACCTGCTGGCAGAGCTGACGTTCTGCGGGTCACCGGCCGGGCTCACAGCGGCTGATCTGCACGTGCTGGTGGACCGTGGTTGGAGCATTGCGAAGCTGGCCACCTTGTGTGGCTGCAGAGAGCTCGTGCTAGATCGGGCGGTGAGCTCGGCCATGGCGACGTCGGAGAGCTTCAAGTCCAACGTGGCCTTGGTGGTGCAGTGCGACAACGGAGCTGCAAATATCCCGGGCCGATGCTGGAAGGGGGTCTCAAGATCTGCTTGAGGCATGCGTCTTCCATGAGAGGGAGAAGAGGCGCAAGTTCTTCCATGTCAGAGCAGGACGTCGTGGAGCGGGCGCCGATGATTAGGACTGCGGAGAGAACGGCGCGGCCAACAAGGTTGGGAAAGGAGCTTCACCGGCTGGTGGGGACATGTCGCTTCGAGAGCTGGCAGGGAGGTCGGAAAGAGAGCGGTGGCTTCAGGAGCTCAGGACGTGTCGACTGCGCAAGAGCCTTGCGCAAAGTCGGTGGTGGTAGTCTGTAGGACCTTCATGTTTCAAGGCACCGGCAGTGAAGAATGCGCTGGAGGAGGTGCAGCTAAGGCTCGCTATGGTGGAGATTTGACAAGGCTATGACGACGCAAAAGGAGCGAAGGAATTGAAGGAAGGATTCTCATCTGGTATCTGGTGGGCGTCGCCCATAAATCAGGACCAGGGAAGCGGGTACGTGGCTCCACCACATACAAGGGCGCGCGAAACCTCTCTTGAATAGAAGAAGGGGTAGTCCAGGGTAGAGCTGTGTTTGGTGCCCGGAGCTGCCCATTGACAAAACAGTAGTGGGCAGAGAAGGTGGGGCATTGCAGTGTTGGCGCAACGCCTGAAAAGGGCTCAGCTGCAGTGTGAGAGAGCGAGCGCAGTGACATATACCAATAAATAAAAGAAAAAGACGCATACATAAATAAATACATTGCGACTGCGCAGGAGGCCACGCTAAATCTCCGGACCCAGTTGACCGACCACCACCACCCACCACCGCCCACCACCACCCACCACCACCCACCACCACCCACCACCACCCCCCCCGCGACGACGGCACACCCACGAGTGTAAAATCTCCGCGTGTAACACCTACGAGTGTACA